CTCCCATGTAACTTCGCTCCGCCGCCAATTAAGATAAAAAATCCAACAGCACCAGTACCCATACTTGAGCTCGAGTACCGTACAATACCCCCCCCTGCTAAACGCAGAGTCAAAAGTGTAAATAAAAAAACAAAAAATAACACTCCGGTCAGCGCAGGGGTATGGACATGGGCTTGGAAAAGGAAGGAAAGGAGAAAACGTGGTGATTGTGAAAAAGGCCTCATTTATGGTATTGAACGAATATTGTAAGGTACCGGTGGGAGCATAATACATCATTTTTGAAACTGAGGCGGTGGAGGCCCGCAACTACCGTATCATGGGGGGGGAAAGGAGGGGGAAAAAAGGAAAGAAAAGGAAAAAGGAAAAGGAAAAAAAAGAAAAAGGAAAAATATCGTACGGTACTGTGGTGCCGGGAGGTGAATGGGTTTTGATATCATATGTTTTGAAAATTACAATATATTGGAAATGATTGAATTCAGTGGGTCCATCTTAGTTTTTTTTTTTTTTTTCCTTGTCTTTTTCGACGTGATAATTATGAGATGACATGATGCTGTCCCCACATATCATTCACCCGCTCACTCATTCCCCCATTCTTTCTTTCGCTTCGTACCAAACTTTTCATTCTTAAAACCGGGAGAACAGAAAAGTAAAAAGGAAAAACGATAAAACAAGAAACAAAAGGATACCCCCTCCCCGTACCACCATCTGTCGATACCGCACCCTGCAGCACCGTAGCATAAAGCTCTGATATTGGTTCCTTAATTACTTACCTGAGCTACGGTACCCCTCCCCTCGTCATAGTGGGGTTAGTTGGTCATAGTCGGTTCTTGTACCATCTTGTGTGGTATCATACGGCAACCAGCGACCAACCAACCCTCCCCCCTTCTCCATCAATCACCGCATTATTCGGAACGGATGTGCTTCTATCACGCGTCAGGGGTTTAGTTTCTTCCTTCCTCCTTCTATTCTGCAGAACAGAAAAGCGACACCATAGAAGGAGAGAAAAGAAAAAAAAGGAAAAAGGAAAAAAAAAGTGGGAAAAAAGGCAAAACAAATAATTAAAAACAAGAATAGGTATCGTTCAACCACCCCCCTCTTCCCGAATTCGATTATGTATGTGTATATGTATGATATATGAATGTATGTTTGTAAGGAAGGAAGGGGAAAAAGATAGCAGGGAAAGAGGGGGAGAGCGGGAAGGGAGATGAGGCGTCGGTGCGAAACATGGGGAGGGGCTAGTGAGCCATGGCTTATTTGGAATTGATGGTGGGATGGATGGATGGTACTGTACGAGTAAGGGTGAGGTAAGGTAAATGATACCTCATGATCGATATATCGCGATTTACGAAAATCATAAAGAAACTGGGCTTGAGAAAAAATCGCATCTCGGGATACCTCGAAACGTGCCGGAAATAAGACAAGAGCCTCCTTTGAGTAACCTTTGGACTATCAGGGCTGCCTCAGACCTGATTTTGGCGAGAAACTAGCGGGTTGGCGTTCGAGTCCGTTTGAGAGAGGATTTAAGACGTGCGGTTTTTTTTCTCAAGCCCGATTTCTTGGTGAAGGTTTTCGCAAACCGCAATATGATAATATCGAAAACCAACCCATGGAGCTGAGTGAGTAAGGGAGAGAAGGGGGAAGAAGAAAAAAAGCAATTATCCCCGTTCTCGCTTTTCGCTACACAGAACTGCCGGGGGGAGGGGGAAGGAAGATGTGAGGTAAGGCGTGAGGGATGAACGAAACAAGTGGAGGCGAACGAACAAAAGGCAAGATGGATGGATGGGTCGGGTGCTAAGAAAAAGAAAAAAAGGAACAGATAGAAGGTTCCAAAGTAATGTAATAAAATGATTACATTCCGGAGGTTGAAAGGGGGTTGTTGGAGTGTATTGCCGCAGTGTTGTGTGTGTGATATTGGAGTTAAGTGAAAAGTGTCAGAGTAAACACTTTCCACCAACAGCAGACAGGGCAGGACAGACAAGGCAAGGCAGGGGAAACCGGAAGATCAAAAAGTAATCGTTTTGTTCGTTTGTGGGAAGAAAAGAAAAGGGAGTAAAAAAGCACCTAACATAAGAAAATAGGCGCTTACCGGTGCTGAAAACCCATTCGTCCAGGCTCCCAACGTCTTCACTAGTGAACGTCAAATAGAGATATCTAATGCATGTGGGTGTATGCGCGCAATCGCGTCCAAGAAAATTAGCCTTGTCATTTTTCTTTTTCCTTCTGCCTGTCTCCTTGCTTCTTTCTCCTCTTCCCTTCTGAACGTGATGTTTTGCGGCTGAAGGGCGGAGATGCCTGGAAGAAGGGAGAAAAAAAGACAGCCCCCTTGTTCTTTCCGGCCCCTGCGGAAAAGGCTGTGTACGAGTAGAGTACGTGTGGGTGGGTGTAGAACGGCGGGAAGGGGTATGGCGTGGAAAATAAAAAAAATAAACCCAAGCGAGCATATTTTTCGTGGAGAGGGAGGAAGAAAAAAGGTGGGGATAATAGATTGTAGCTTACTTCAATGTCTCGGCTGGAAGCACCGAACATCCAATCCCAGAGCCCCGGGGACAAGTGAGGCGATAATCAGCATAGGGAAGCGGTCATGTGCAGACGAAAATCAAATTCTCGCAAGAGTAAGAGGTTGAGGATGAGTGAGAGAGTGATTTAAACCACACCGGCAGTGAAGTTAGGAAAAAAAAAAAAAAAGAAGAGCAGAGATTTACCAGGCTAGACCACATGTAAAAAAGAAAGGGTCTTGAAGGGAAAATCCAGGGAGGGCACCTGGAAGGAAGGAAGATCGGGGAGGGGAAGGGAAATGATAGACGTACCTCCCCAGAAACTCTCTGCTTCATCAGTCAGACCACCCCCTTCAGGCAAAGTGACATCCTTAATCGAAGCATAACCGAACTCCACTTTGGTTGTCTTCATGTAAGCCCTACATTGAAGAGTATCGTGAATCAATATACTGCACCATATGGGGACCGGGAACAATATACAAGTGGGAAGAAAGAAAGAAGCAGGAAGTCAATCGGGCGCTCAAAAGTAGATCGCCCTCCAACCATCACACAACAAATAGGAATGACATACTTGTATGCATCCCACGCCCATTCTTGGTACATCTGGTTGCCTGTCGCTCTGTATGCGTAGAAATATGACTCCACGGTTTCGGGACGCAGCAGATACCTAGCGTTCGTGACCCAAAATCCTGCATTATTTTTTTGTTCCCGCTGCCCTTCATGCTCGGGATGGAGTACAGGGGCGATCCTCTTATCTACCGGTGTCCAGGCGAAAGTTTCAGGCCCAATGCGTGTAATTGTGCTGACATAGGTCTCGTGGCATCCGTCGACGATGTCCAGACCGAATTGTACAAAGTCTTTTCTACCGAGATATTTCCCTCCCAAAATGAAGTTCCCACCGGCAAAGCATGTGAGGTGGCCCATCTCGCTGGTTAAAAGACCATTCTTCCACTGAGCGAGGAACAACTTTCCTCTTTGACGACCCTTTCCCGGTGTCGACCATTGGGCGAGGTGTTGAATCGTGGACTCAACAGCTTTCACCCACCTCTCGCCATACACATTTGCATGCCGGTCCTTGGGCGCTAATATCTGTGCCTTGATGAGATACTATCGACGAAAAGTTAGCTCCTATTTCATAGCCGCCAATGGAACAGGTTACCAACTTCGTAGTATCTATCATTGACACCGGTCGGCATCAGTAAACAGCCGAGAATATCAACACCTAAGACATTCGGAAGTTGCCTTACGAATCGTGCCCTGCATCCCAACTTCTATCTTTGTCAATCGATTTGCCGGTTATTATATCAAACGGAGACCTAAAAGTATTTGTCAGAAATCTGTCTAGTTATCTATCAGAAGCACAAAGCCCTGGAACACATACTGAGCAAGACCCGGCCAATCCTCTTTGTACCTATATCCCGAATCGTTAGAAAAAGGCAAAATCTCGAGCTCGGCTTCAAACTCACTCGTTCCAGACAAGCTTCCTAAAAAAAAAGAGAAAAAAACAGACAGGGTTAATAAGCTGAATCAAGCCTCAAAGAAAACGGGGGATCAAAGTATACTTCCAAGCACGTGTCGCATTCTTCCCATATATATCATTTCCAGTGAGCTTGCTAAGAATTCTATTCTCTAGCCAATTTGTTCCAGCTCGGGCGGGGGAGATTGTAGGATGATCATGCAATCCCACTTCTCTTCCATCTTCTCTGCAACCTTTATCTGTACTGAAGTTGATTCTGGGCCATATCATGCCAGATGGAGAATCGAAACCGGGTGCCAGTTTGTCAGCTAGCTCCATAGCTTTAGCTACCAGGGCATTCCTTTCCTGCTCAGACACAAGTCCTCTGTGGACAACGCCGTTGTCAATGAGCTCCACAGTGGAAATCATAGCTCCGAGATAGCTATCAGGTATCAGTATAAAGCTAGTAGAAGAAACTAGGAGAGCCTACCGGATAGTCGTCTCAAAGGGATCAACAAGGTCTGCAGCCCTACTAAAATCGATTCCGAGTGTGAAATTTAATTCCTATATATTATAAAAAAAATACCACCCGAAAATCAGCATCACACATTATCACTTTGCCCTGGGCTATCACTCACAAGCTTAAACTCCTCCTCAAGGCCCATCATAGCGGTCGTCGTCAAGGTATCCACAATAGTCGCTGCCCATCCATTCCTACAGAAACCAACATTAACTTGAGCTTCAAAGGAGAAGGGGAAATGAGGGAGAAGGAAGGGAGAAAACTCCGGCTTAGCTGAGGCACGAACGCGACGACAGGACAAGCACCAACAGCTTCAAGAAAGAGAACGTGGGGGGAAAAAAGAAAGAAAGCCCCCCCACCTCGTAGTTTTCCCATTCCCACTAATCGGCATGATTTCATCGCTACCCCAAGCTCCAAGCCTATACTTCCAAAAGGTCCTGCTCATGGCCTCCTTGATCTCACCGGCCCGCTTGCTATCCCCAGCAGCTCTACCACTGCCTTTGAAATCGAATTGTATGGGGTTCCCATATCGGCCACCCCCCTTCCCTCTCCCTCCATTTCTACCGCCGCCGAATATACCGAGTCTTGATGATGATCCAGGGTGGTTTAGTTCAAAGCTGGAGCCACCATTCCCGAATTCTGGCGAGATGACGTAGTTGAAGTAAATAATCACGATAAACGCCAGAATCAAAAACCTCGTTCTGTGAGTTGCCGGCCTGATCATTCTCCCTATAATTTTGCGCGTCTCTGTGTGGAAAAAGGCTTCTCTCCTCTCCTTAACTCCTTTCTCCCTCACGGTCTTTGTCTGTCCGTCTGTCTGCGTTTCCTGCCGTAAAACGATCCCAGCAGAAAAAAAAAACAGCGTATCGTTATCGAATCGTTGTGTGGTGGACAACGCAAGAACCACGGCCCTCTTGAGAAAAGGGCAATTCTTTTCTCCTTTATTTCCAACCAAACCCCCACCGCGCCCTTCCTTCCCTTTCCCGTTCCACTTACATACAAGTAAGTACACTTCCTTCCTTGGTTAGAAAATTGCTGGACCCTTTGTTCTGGTTGGATTGCTACCGTAGGTTTTCCGCCAACACTCCTACCCTCCAGCCTCTCCTCACCGCCGCCCACGTTCCAGCGAGCAACTGCTCCTTGTTCTGTCCAACCAGCGGCTCGGCCGGCGTTGCTTCGTTCGTCCGAGAAAACTCAAATCGCTTTTCGCACTCGGGTTTTCTCTGGAAGGGATTGTTCCGGGGTTTAAGAACTGTCTTTCTCGGCCCCTGCGCCGGTGGATTTTTTTCTCAGTGAATCTTTTTTTTTTGTTACTGTGTTACACCTTCTGCGCCCCTTCTGGTGTTACGGGACATGTACTAGTACTAGTACTCGGGTATTGGAGAAATGGAGTGGTAAGCGGGTTAGCGGGGAGGGGCTAGCGAAAGTGTAGTTTATCAGTGTGGTAAAGTGGAGGTTAGTACCGCAGAGGGAAAGAGACGAATTGAAGCCCTTTTTGTAATACCGTGCCTTATTTTGTACGTCTGCAACCTAATTGCTTGGTGTAAGGGGTACCGTAGATAAAATTTATAGGAGAAACTATTATCCGCGAGGGTGCGTGAGAAGAGTGGGTGACGAGTGAGTGGAGAGTTGCTGAGCTGTTGCTAAGTACCAGGATGGAGATATATAAACTATACTTGGGCTTCCTTGGGGCGTGTCACGATACCGGCAGGTGTGGTGAATCATGTCGGCTTCACTGGTAGGCGGGTGGAGTCTTGTTTGTCACGTTTGGGAGATATTGAAGTTGGGATTTTGGTGAATTTTACAATAATATTTTTCCAACCCTCAGGACTTCATTGAACTCTGACCGGTTACCGGAAAGTACTCGTAGAGTATTAGACTAAAGCATTCCTACCGCCGAGCTATCACCAAGCCGCCTTTTCTACCAATTCATCGCTAGACCAGATCCCAAGATTAAAGCCAAGACAAGCCAGTAATATTATCAAGACGACCTATATCATATCGGAGCCCCTTCGCCCGGCAACTTTAGCATAACAACGTTGGGTGCCTTCATGATATCTCACTATCCTCAAAAATACCGAGCCTTACCACTCTCGAATCGTATTCCAATGGAAACCGCCCCGAGGGTATAGCTACTATTCTCCCTCCACAAACCATCGTGAAAACCGAGCCCGGCCTACCACCCCATAATTTCGTTTGTCAAGAACTATGATATCATAACACACTACACCTCTCTCAATGAGACTTGCCTGCGAATCCCTAAGCACCCACTTGGCACGCCCGGACTAGACTAGGATTGGACTTTAAGTCCGGACTTAAAAAAGGCAATGCTCGAAAACTTGAGGATCTAGACTTTGGACCCTGGGCCTACCAAGCACGCCTGGGTTCAGACTTTCGTTAATCGTTAGTCCTTCGTGTATCATACCAGATATGTAAGGCCGAGAGGGAGGAAAAATGCCCTGATAGTATCATGGGTTTATGAAAAGTTTTTTCCTTCAGGGTTAGTCTAAGCACAAAGTGCCAGGTAGGGAATTCTGAACTATAATAGTCCACAAAAGGAAATCTAGTCCTAGTCCGAGACAAACCAAATGCTGCTGGAGCAAAAGTCCAGACTTGGACCAAGATCCGGACATTAAGACCAAATCCGGGCGTGCCAAACGGGGCCCAATATTCCCCCCCGGGATGCTTGCTATGCTGGGTTAGATAGCCACAAGCGGTCAATAACCAGCCCCACACCTTAGCACTCGGAAGCTCTTACAGCGCTAAGTTTCCAGTAGTTATATCACCCCTGTCAAATTTGGAGAATATACATAGGCTGCGTATGACATATGCCCATGTAGAAAGTTGTAGTGTATCAGAACGGAGGGAAGGGTGATAGTAAGAGGTGTGAAGGGGGGGAACGTTCAGCGATGGTGCTTAAACTATTAGATGGGAACAATTCTCCGAGCGAGAGGGATGTCGGTGACATATGTGAAGGAGTGCAATGCACTTCGACGCTTCTTTACTGGGGCGAGCTGCGGCCGACATACTCAATTCTGCAAAATACTATGTAATAAATGCCCACCCACCTCCAATAGCATTGAAATCTTCTTATTATCTATCATAGGCTATTATACCATCTTCTCCCTTCGGCTTGACTGCTGTAGCAGACTAAGTTGAGGACGTGCAGTACAGTACCTCCCAAAGAAATCACACACTGCTATCTAGCGAACTTTAACCGTAAGCTACAACTAGGCCTACGCACCCGTGAAGGGAAGGGGAGAATGGGAGGGAGAAACAGGACGTCACAAACAGACTGCAGTTCATATCATACCAGCTCATTGATCTTCTATTAGGTCTTTCACAAACTTCATCTTGAAAAAAAAACCCAAACAAGAAACCCAACCCCGTCGCAGAGCACACCCACAAAGCTCAATTCCCATCCAACTCCCAATCGTTGACATGGCATATATATGGGAATCAAGCCTTCTATCGTACAAGTGAGCAGACACGAGGCATAGTCTCGGTGGAGGGGGTCTAACTGTATCTTCCACAGAGCGCCATATCAGAGGGCCAGCACTCGGAGCAGGTGGGGCCTACCAAATTACCATAAACCTCAACTCGAGTGGTAAAAAGTAATCAATACAGCTACAGAATTTAGAGGCGTGTAAAAAAAGGCTTTGCTACTGTACTTAACTTAGGCTATTATCCTCGTAGGGGGTGTTGCCTCGATGTGATAGAAAGCACTAGTTAGTCTGGCTATCCGCCGTACTGCTCTACTCACTATCATGCATGCAGATATGTTTAGAGTGACGGTCGGTGTACTTACATAGACGCCCATTACTCGTGCGGAAGCAAGCAATAGTGCTCTCTACCCTCTGTCAATCACCACTCCAAATGCACTTCCGTTCTCCATTGCCTCCTAAGCTCGACCTCGGACACTTTTTCCTGGCCGGTTACTAGCGCGGGTTATGAATAGAGATAAGAAAGTTGTGATACTGATATAGTAACGCTTGAGATTATAGAAACGCACACAGGGAGCTCATACCGGTAGGCCGGCCAAACCCATCACAGTGAATCAGCCTTCGTAAGTTCCAACTCTAAAAACCGATAGATAAACTTTTGCGAGAAACCACAATCCCGGAGATGACAGGAGAATACCGGCAGAATAGTAGGCTCAAGTGAGAAGAGGAATTGTTAAAAAAAAGGAATGACCGGAACGTGATTTGAACACGCAACCTTCTGATCTGGAGTCAGACGCGCTACCGTTGCGCCATCCAGCCCTTCATAATGAGTATTTGTGATATTAGCATGATAAATGCAACTCTCGAAGTGGTGTAGAGGATCGTTTCTTGGACTGTTTCACCGTTTCTCCTTTGGGGAGGGGGGATGGATGGGCTGAGCTTCCGAAGTTCTACTGCGGCTCCATAGCGACTAGGAGTACGGTATTGTACTGTAGGCTTAGTGAGTTTTCAATAATGAGCTACTGCTAGCATCCGGTAGAGCAGCCTTTGGATGAGAGAAGTCTGGTGCATAATACCGCCAAGTATGATATCAGCAACATTTTGTCGAGTTACACACGATATACTGGTAATACTGAAAACAACAGAAACGACTCCAAAAAACCTCCAGGAATAGTTGCAAATCGTGATAGCATTCATATCAGACAAAAAAGGTCATCCCCACATGATGTCCCACAAATAACGCTTATAGGTACTCCACAGAGATCGAGAGGTAAGGAAATCAAAGCCTCTATATTACAAGACCACAAGCACAGGCACGCACACGCAAACAGGCAAACAGGTATCAGCAGCGACAGGACCCCCAACGCGGACAGTACAAACACCCAGTGCACACAATCGTGATATCAGGCAATATCCGAACTACTCCATCAATTCAGGCATCTGCAACCCCCTCAACAGAACAATGGTATTCCCATTCCCTACAGCATCCCCAATCTTCTCGCCGAAACTCAACACTCTCCCACCCTCGACGTGAAAGACCCTCAACTTCTTCTCATCGTCATCAGCCTTATTATTCAAATTCGCGACCTGCAGGCTCTGTGCCGCCTTGTCCAACACCCTGCCTACGGTCCATTCACTTGAGTAGTAGAATTCCCCCCTAGGTAACTTTGATGTGGTCGTTCTAGCTTCAGCTTCGACATACACATACACACGCTTTCCAACAGGGACTTTGTCATCGCCCTTAGCTGCACGCTTGAGTTTATTCAGTTCTGCGATCTGCGAGGCTCCCGGCCGGGTTGATTGTATGACTTTATCGGATTTGGAAGAAGTCCAGGCTTTAAAGCGGGACAATGCGGACTTTGCCTTCTCATTGGCTGTAGCTACGGTGGGGGGCGGGGGCTTGACTTTGTCGCAGTCATGCTGGTCTTGCAAACGGTGGGAGAGACAGTATTGCTTTCGGCAGGTCGTGCAGTTCACGGCTGGGTCGCGGGGGGTGTTGATTATCGTTTTGCATTTCGGATGGGCGCAGTCAGTCTGCAAAAGGCTGCGGATTTTGGGTCTTGTTGGGGCGATGGAGGAAGAGAAGTCCTTCTCACGACGTGTGGCAGCCCAGCGGCCTTCATGGGCGCATTTGTGGGCAGTTTCGGTGCGGTGGTCGAGGCAATATGTTCTACTCCATCCCTCTTCGTCAGTATTCTAGATGGAAGGGATGCTAGCAATGATAGAGAGGGGGAGGAAGAGAAAAAACATACCCGCCGCAAGACTCACATTTAAAGGGTAGAAAGTCCAACAAATGACATTCCGGAAGGTCGCAGTGCTTTCCAATAGCCTCCACCTCTCCAAGCCCTTGAGTTTTTGCCGGCATCTCGTTTGTTTTCCCTGACATGCTGCTTGCTTGTGCTGCCGATGATGGCGATTAAATACTGTATTGTAGCTTTCGCCCGAAAGGAGCTTAGGAGTTTTTCGTGGCGGGTGTTGATGGAGAGCCAGTATGTCCGCCTGGAAAGTGCTAGCAGCCTCATTCAGTCAGTCAGCCAGTCGCTTGCGTAAGGCTGCAGGCATGGCATTTCAAATGAGAGCATCCCATCAGCAGGAACCGACTCGGCCGAAGAGGCCATTCCAACTGCTGGGCCCCGACTTCGTTCTGTAATCAGGAGGAAGGAAGAATTTAGAAGAAAGAGGAAAAAAAAAAAAGAGCGATCAAGAGATCTTATTAGGCATGTTTTCCCCACTGCAGCATTCGCCACTACTATGTATTGCAGATCACGTGTGCCTTCAACAAAGAGGGAATTTCGAGTGAGGTTTTATGAAAACACGTGATCAGCACGTGATCAGCGGGGTCCTAGTTGCCCCACAACGCGTCTTCCCAATCCTGTAATAGATTTCACATCTCTCGTCTCCTTGACAAGCTGGGTAAACCAAGTTAAGTCAACAATGCCACCACGATCAAGAACCCGCCAACAACCCGTCCGGGAACCGTCGCCGTCGCCGTCGCCGGTTGTCTCGGAAAACGAGTCAATTGAAGAGACCATTTCCCAGGGTGAAGGGGACGATTACGAGAACTTGGACGACGACCAGGAACCAACACTTGAGAGCGCAAGTACGACACTTCCTACCATCAAGTTTTTGACAAACCCTGCACTACCGTTAACTAAACATGATGAGAACAGTGCCGGAATCGTCAATCGAAGGTCTAAAGGAAATTGGCAATCTTGCCTGTTGGACTGTCTCCTCTGCGAAGCCTGGCAACGGAGTCGAGCAGTTGCGGGATGAGAATACGAATTTGTTCTGGCAGTTTGTTACCCTTACAGTTCACCATTTTCTCGTGCATTTCTAACTGATTTTCTTTTTTTCGTGATAGATCTGATGGACCGCAACCGCACACTATTAACATTCACTTCGCGAAACGGGTCTTCGTCAGGAAGATTAGGATGTACCTCGACTTTGAAAACGACGAATCCTACACCCCTACCCGCATGTCTATTCTCTCAGGGACGGGGTACCACGATTTGCAGGAGGTTACAACTATGAATTTCGAGCAACCTAGTGGGTGGATTAATGTCCCCCTTGACGGGGTGCATGAGGAGTAAGTATCGATTTCAACGAGCTCTTGTGCTGTGTGCTAACAGTTTAAAAAGCGGTCGCTTGAGGACATTCCTCATACAGGTATGCATCCATGCGAATCATCAGAATGGTAAAGATACGCATGTTCGTGGGTTGCAGATTTTCTCTGATGAGCCGTATGTCTATCCCGGAGATATTGGAGTAGTGCACGAAGCTAATTGCGCATAGGTCGAGCTTCAACCCTGATGAAGTGCCTTTTACCTCTAAGAAGGTGTTTGCGGAACTAGAGTTGCGTTAGTTTGTCTGGACAATGTCTACTGCAGATATCTTTATCTAAAGGGCTGGCTTTTTTCTTCTGGGCGTACGGGATACAATGGTTACTGTAGCAATTCACTTTTCAATTCACTTATAAAAACTCCTTTTCTTCCCCAAAAAACAATAGAGTATTAATGAGTGACGGAATCTCGAATTCAAGCTTTTATGAACATGAATATACCGGTAGCTCGGATTTGAGGAGCCATAGTCGATAATTTTAGGATTTAATTTGGGCTTTCGCGCTTTCCCGGTTTTCTATTTACTCAGGAGAGCGTCTAAGGCTCCTGCAATCCTTTCACCGAGCTCGGAGGTCGTAGACGTTCCACCGATATCACTAGTCCCAAAACCATCATCAAGAACTATGCGAACGGCTTCCTCAACGGCTAGGGCTTCGCTAGGCATGTTCAAAGAATAACGCAGCATCATTGCGCAGGAAAGGATAGCAGCCACAGGGTTAACAATTCCTATACGGCTGTTAGCAACTAATCACAGCATCCCATGATATCAGAGGACTCACCCTTTCCGGAAATGTCAGGAGCAGACCCGTGAATAGGCTCGTAAATCCCGTTCACCTTTGTCTTCCCATCAGGGATACCGGACAAACTAGCGCTTGGCAAGAGCCCCAAACTACCGGGAATCACACTCGCCTCGTCGCTGATGATATCTCCGAAAAGATTGCTGGTAACAATGATTCCGTTCAGAGAACGGGGGTTTTTAACCATCATCATGGCCGCCGAATCGATCAACTGGTGTTGGTACTTAATCTGCGGGTACTCCCCGCCAAGGACCTCATCGACGGTCTTTCTCCAGAGCCTACTGGTAGCCAGAACATTCGCTTTGTCCAACGAGGTGATTGGCAACGGAGGGTCGGCCTTTAAGGCCAGGTGTGCCGCCAAACGGACAATACGCTCAATCTCGGGACGAGAGTAAGGCTCGGTGTCGTAGGCTATTCCATCACCCTCGTCTTCCTTCCTGTCACCGAAGTAGATCCCCCCAGTGAGCTCACGGATGATGTTGAAGTCGACGCCACGGCAGACTTCTTCCTTCAGCGGTGAGAGTTTGACAAGGGCCTCTGCGGCGAAGTTGCAGGGTCGGAGGTTTCCAAATGCTTGCATTTCCTTGCGGAGTTTGAGGAGGCCTTGCTCTGGGCGCACTTTACCGGTTCCCCATTTCTGAGCTCCGTCAGTAAACTCGGCCCCGGATGTCAGGACGAGAGAGAGAAAAAATAAACGTACCGGTCCACCGACTGCTCCTAGAAGAACTGCATCGGCTGCTTTAGCCGCATCAAGAGCTTGGTCAGTAAGAGGCTCTCCGGTTGCATCGATCGAGGCCTGGTATATCCCTTAGCCATGCTCAATCGATCAATCCTCAGGATTGTAGAAAAGTCCAGGAGAACTTACACCACCAAGAAGATGGTTTTGAAAATCAAACTTGGCCTTAGAATGTTGCTCAACGACTTTGAGGATCTATACGTGATGCAACAATAAGCCTTCACTCTATATTTCATTCCATCCCGCCCCCAGAAGTCAAACCTTAATAGCCTCCTTAGAAACCTCCGGACCGCAATGGTCACCTGCAGGTATTCCAATTAGCTAACCCCCCCCCTCTCCAACCTCTGAACCCGAACATCAGAAACAGACCTTCGAAAACCACGATTTTGTAAGTGTTAGCCATTTGCGGAGTAATGCTCTTGAAGTTTGGTTTGGTGAAGGAAATTTTTTCAAGGATTTGCGGAGCAATACTCTTGGAGTTCGGTTTCGTGAAGGATATTGTTTTAAAACGTTAGATTTTTATGGTATAGCGGGGTACTGACCTAAGTCCTCAGAAGAGAGGGGTGAGTTATCCCTTGGGCGGTCTGAGACAGTAAAATTCGCGACAGGCACGCTAAAGAAAAACTCAGTAAAGATCGACAAGAGATGGCAACGTTATATCTTATAACATGTAGATGTAAAGTAAATTGATTAAGAAGATATACCAAGCTTCCCTCATGCCACCATCAAAGAAGTCACAAATTCCTCTTTCACAGCTTTCACCAAATGTGATACCCTGAGGTAGCACAAGATGTGATGCAGAGAAGTTGTGATCACAAAGGGGAAATAGAGAACAATCCGGTAACAATGATGCTACTGAAACTACTCTGGAGCCCTACAGACCACTTCAACCCCAGGTTGAGCATACTGGTCAGCCTTTGCTTCCATGGAATGATAGTGAAATCACTCCGCTTCGATTATTTGAACTCTTCTGGGATGAGATTACAATTGGTATCTTGATAGAAGGTACTAATAGGTATGCTGTAATGAAGGAAAGGGAGCAGGAAAGGATAGGTACTAGAGGACTAGGATGGAGGTGGTGGAAAAAGATAACTTCAGATGAAGTATGGATTTTTCTTAGGTTGCTTTTGTATTTAGACACACGGAGAGAGATAGGAGTATGACATTACTGGAAGGAGGAGTGCCAGGGATTCACACTAGTTCAAGTAATGTCATTAAAGTAATTCTGACAAATATAGCGCTTTTTACATATAACCGATCCAGAGATTCAGCTTAGTCAAGCAGAGAGGTTCCAAAAGCTGGAACAACTCAATCGCATCCTCCTTGATCAGTGTCAAAAATATTACCTACCTGCGTTAAATGTGACTATAGATAAAATGTTGATTTGTTTTGAGGGAAAAAGCTTTCATACCTATAGAATGCCTAGTAAGACAATTACAGAAGGCTATAAGGTATTTGCCTTATGTGATACCGGGTATACCTATAATTGGTTATATGCTTCTAGAAGTAAGTCTGTTGCTGAGCTTGAGGTAATTCTATTTAGCTATTATAGTTTGAATTTTAATTAGAAATTTAAACTAATAAGTTTAGACTGAATATAGTGATCTTAAGGTTACTGGATTACTAGTATACCAGCTAGCATTAGCTCTACCTAGAACCCTCCAGATTTACTTTAACCTCTATATGGATAATTACTTTCCATAAATTGCACTTTTTAAGAGGTCAAGAGACTTGGGAATTAGGGGATATGGTACAGTAAGAGTATAGAAAACTGCTTTTCCACCCTACCTACATGATGACTGGTCCAATATTTCTTGGAATGAGCTCTCTAGTGGCCCTGCTAGTAGTACTGGAAAAGTATTGGCTGTACAATGGCAGGATCAGAGTACGGTTCACTTCCTTACAACAATCCATAATTTGGAAGACAGGATTACAGTTTTGTGGAAAAAGCCTTGACAGAGTAGCAGCAATGGACCTGTAATTTGTAAGACTTTTGGTACTATAGAGCGAGTAAATGTCCCAATACCTGTAATTACAAATGATTACAATAGGTATAAGGTAGGAGTAGATGTTGCAGACCAGTACCAGAGCTACTATATCACACAACTAAAATGCTTATAGAACTGGTCTCCGATCTTCTACTGGCTTCTCAATACTACTGTAATCAATTCCTACTCTCTCAATAGGTCTCTATTAATTGCAGACTATCTTCTGGATTCCGGCCCTTCTGTGTTGCTATTGCAGAGGATTTAATTTCTTACTATGCCCCAATACCTACCTCAAAGCCTTGCAAAGCCTCCTACATCCGCAAAGCCTCCTTAACCTGCTACAGTAAACTCCAGTAGCACACTGCTCTTCCTTCTCCTGTTGCCCCTAGCAGTCTACCAAGCAACTCAACACCCCATCAGTATATACATTTCAGCTCTAAAGGGCTGGAATGTACTCAGTGCTGATTTATTTTATGTGCTATGAACCGGAAGGGTAAGCAAGTACTAACTACTTAGTATAAGTGTCACGGACCTTAGTGTAGATTTGCCCTTTGCCGCTATTGTTTTAATATTCATCATAAGGATATTTATCATGAATATGGTTTGGCGAGGAAAAGGTTTTCACGTGACACATGGTTATGAGTCACAGGTATGTTATTGTTTCACACATATGACTCATTTGAGTCATATGATTTGTTATATGTGGGATTTGTGATGCTTTCGTACATGGCTCAAATATGAGTCATGGCAGTGCGCCTGGCGAGTATGCCTTACGCGTGTGCCTTACGGGTAGGCCTTGCGCATATGATTTATGTTTCACATATGACCTCGTTATGAGGTCATGGGTTTCACGCATATGATACAGTCAAGTCATATGACTTGTTTATTGTGTTATAATTGGTTTATGAGTTTTGCACATAACTTCATTATGAGGTCATGGGTTTCGAGCATGTGACTACTTTAGTCACATGACTAGTTTGTTATGATTTGGTTTCACAAATGTGACAAATTTGGGTCACATGACTACAGGCGGGAAGAACACTATATAAGGAGGCTGATGCGGCCGAGAAGGATAGGTTCTTCACGCTTTGTTCTAAGTACTTTTCCTCGTCCTTGACGTCACTTCACCCTGAGTGTTTCTTTCACCCTCATGATGGGCCTTGATGCCTTGGATTCTGGGGGAGATATCTGAGTTCGCTCAGTAGTTCCTGGGGTCTTTGGTATTGAGGTCTGTTAGGTGTTGCGTGGCGGACTACTTGTTTGCTTCTCGTTTCGTCGCCTGATAGCTTCTCACGATGCTGTCACTTCGAGCACTTCATCATGGTCACATACTGTCACGAACATGGCTTAGCGAGGAAAGGGTGTTCACGTGACACATGGTTATGAGTCACAGGTATGTTATTGTTTCACGCATATAACCTATTCGGGTTATATGATTAGTTATGTGTGGGATTTGTGATGCTTTCGCACATGGCTCAAATATGAGTCATGGGACATGCGCCTGACGAGTATGCCTTACGAGTGTGCCTTACGGGCAAGCCTTGCGCATATGATTTATGTTTCGCACATGACCTTATTATGAGGTCATGGGTTTCGTGCATATGACTCAGTTGAGTCAGATGACTTGTTTATTGTGTTATGATTGGTTTATGAGTTTCGCACATGACCTCGCTATAAGGTCATGGGTTTTGAGCATGTGATCACTTTGGTCACATGACTAGTTTGTTTTGATTTGGTTTTACACATGTGACCACTTCAGGTCACATGATTAAAGGTGGGAAGAACACTATATAAGGAGGCTGATGCGGCCGAGGAAGATAGGTTCTTCATGCCTTATTCTAAGTACTTTTCCTATATATTACTTCAACGAATATAAAACACCTTTACGATCTTTATCCTTATTGCAACATTACTATTATGACAAGAAGCACTCATTACGAAGATGAGTTAAAGAAAGTTTATGATAGGTGTTTCCGATAGAAGACAAAGGTCTTGTACTATCGGTAACGTAGGCAGAGGCCTAGAGCTATAGTAAGACAAAGAAAGCATGGGAAAGAAAGATAAGTATCGTTCCCCGTCGCCAAGAACTAACTATCTGAAAGGGTATCGTTACATTACAAAGCGTCACCTAGTGCGACGCCAAACGATACAAGACGGCATCCTTCAACCCAGATCGGAAAGGAGATAGTGACATCGATGATCAAAATCTTAATCTAGGAGGATTCAGCGACGCCCTAGATCACGTCTCAGCAGAACCCTCGAGAGCAGCAAGCCCAGTAACCCCAGAGAAAGGATCACCAGTCGATAGCTCTCCTGCTGGAACGCCACGACCCGAGAGAATATCGGGATCTGCAGTACCTGGGCCACCGGCCCCAGCCACTCCGGCACCAGGAACCAGCATACTTGGAATGACTGAAAATCAGTTTCAGGCATTTCTTGCAGCCACGCGAAATACAGGGCAAGGAAATGTCCAACGACCAAAAGCAAAGGAGCCCGACACATACGAAGGAGCCGAAGATAAGCTACGAATATTCTTAGCGCAATGCGAGGGATATTTTGCAGTTAAGAGATACGGAGAGCACCATGATGAAATTAAGATTCCATATGTGGAATCGCTACTCAGAGGACTCGCGGGACAATGGATCATGCCCTTCCAAGATGGGAGAAAACAGAGGGAATGGGTCACGTACGAAGAGTTCAAGGCAACACTCATTGAACAATTTGGAGACCCCAACGCCAAAGAAACAGCAAGACGAAAGCTAGAGAAATTCCAGCAAGGAAAACAAACGTTCTCAGCATACTGGAACAAATGTCGACTGTTGGAATACGAGGCCGAGTTTGATGACGCGACTCTCTATATCATCCTCCAGAGAAACTGCAGTGAGAGACTCCGAGAGGCATGGAGAATCTCTGACCTGCGCTATACGATAGCTGAACGATTTGCAAGATGGGCAATCGACAAAGAAAGCAAATTAAATATGGTTCGGAGCAACTCGGAAAATACTATAGCACATAGGGTGGTCCAATCATCCAGGAATGTGGACGGGACCTTCAAACCACAAGCACCTCGAGGGGAAAGTCGAGCATTACCACCAGGCGAACCAATGGAATTGGACAAATCAAGACCAGGGCCTGTTCTGAATCTGTCTAAGGAAGAACACAGCAGAAGGATGAATGGAAAACTATGCCTAAGGTGTGGAAAAGCAGGGCATCGGATACGAGAATGCAGAAGCCGACTGGATAACGGATGCCAGGGAAACAGAGCTACTGGAAATAATCGTTTCCAAAATCAGAAGAGAAGCAACATTCGCGAAATGATAGCAGAGGATTCACCGGCGGAAAACGAAGAGGGTCTCCAGTAAACGGTGGTCTGGGAGACCCAAGATGTGGACCTGGAAAACCTATCAAATTAGCG